CATATTTCTGTTTTCCGCAATGAACATTATTTAATGAGATAACTTTAGAACCGCCTTCTAGAAAAAGAAAAATTAAGGGGGGGGGGGGAAGAGAAACAAGAACTAAGGCTGAGTCGACTAGTTAAGGAAGGTTACCTGTCTGGTGAAGGCTAGCTTCCTTACCCAGCAACCCCAGATAAGCTGAGGCGCAGGTGCTAATGACGCTAGCTTACCGGCAGGCGCTAATACAATTATAATTCCACAGTAACGGCACTAATACAATAGCACGGACTGTACTGTACTGGCTACCGGTGTACTGTACTGCAGTGTGGGTGAAAACCTGGGTGCAGACGCGAAGTAATAAGAGATTAAACCCTTGCAGGTATGCTAGCGACTCACCGGTGGAGATAAACCGACACGTAATCCTGAAAAAAAGTTGAATTAAAAAGATCGATAAATTAATTGTATCTGCCAGACATCTCTCTTTCGAGTGATGATGAAAACATCACATCATGATGAGGTCACACATCACCATCAGATGCTTAAACAGCAGAGAGTGGGGTGATGTGATGATGCGCAGGCAGGTTATTCCTGGGCATTGACCTCTGACTGCAGCTTCCGCTATAGAACTAGTTTAGATAGTAAAGACATCACACCCAAGCCGGTATATTAACGACTTCAGCATTAGGTGTTCAGGCTGTCTATCTATTCTTCCGTTTATAAGGGAATGACGTAAAAAACCCAGAAAATATATTGTATGTTGGACGTTATGAACAACTTGTAATTATACAGTTAATTACAAGTTGTACATAACGTCTAACATACAATATATTTAATATAATAATATAATTTAAAAAAGACAGAAAACTGTGGAGTCAAGATAACCACAGCTGCTACACCAGCTGAAATCAAACAAAACGCTAGTGTTTTTGTAACATCCATCCAAGGTGCTCGATACTATATCTGCTGAATTCTTATGATTAAAAATATATATGAACATTCCAAAAGCAGAAAAAAAGAAAAGAAATAATGGGGGGTTTTTTTGCTTTGTTTTGTTTTTTCTTCTATCCAGTCAATGTAATAAGGTCTTAGTAATCAAATATCAGTAAAAGACACGTTAGCGCTGAATCCTTTCTGTCTAGTTCAGCTAGATCTATGCTGATTTCGCTCGCAAAGCTCCAATCAAATTGCAGTTAATCTGTGTGGGCGTGTTTAAGGCGGTAGAGGGCCGGGAGACACCCGGAAGAGGTGGTGCTTGAGCATTTTTTTTTCCAAATCTTTATTTAAACATCAGTACAATACAAAATGGAATTAGGCAGTATTACAATAATGGTGTTGTACTTACAAAAGAATTGTATGCATAGATAAACAAATACAAGAACAGTATTCAAAAACAACAATAACAACATGCTAGGGGGAAAGTAACTAATCAAGCCAAAGAATAAAGTGATTGAAATATCTTGATTTTTTCACAAACACCAATAGTTTTTATAGCTTTTGGGTTAGTGGAGTTCTTAATAGAGTTAAAATACTGTACAAGTTCAAAGGAGAATACATAAAAAGAGGGGTGCTTGAGCATGTGCTGTCAATGTGCACAGCTACATATATGTAGCAGAACTGAACTTCGGTGTGCGGAATCTGTGACGAGCACACAGTTTCGCGGTTGCAGGTCTTCGTCGTTGTTGAGTAGACTGCGTGCAGCTGAAGCATGCTGTGAGCCCGCTAACGTCAGACTACATTTAACAAGTCTGTTGTACACTATTTTCACGACGGGTAGTTTGAGGACTACGTATGCAAACTGGGAATGTCAAAAATCAGGGGCGATTTTAGCCCATTTTGGGGGGTGCTTCAGCACCCCTAAAATGAATCAAAGCACCCCCAAAGATTTCTTACTTTTTTTTGACAATATTTGCTGTTTGTGTGACACACTACTAAAAATATAAAAAGCATACAGTACTGTACTTGTTTGAGACGTAACATTTTAACAACAAAAGTATAGATAATCCCCCCTCCCAAAGTGATTTGTTCCAGCTCGCCTCTCCCCTGCTCTGGCTCTAGGATGGTGGCTGAGACGCAACGGAGCGGAAGTGTTTTGGCTTAAAACAGGACATATTAGCTGCATTTAACCTTCAGTTACTCTTTATATAGTTAGGTGGAGTCAGACCATGTTTCTTTTTAGCTGAAAAACATTACACCAGGTAACCTGCTGTGTTGAAAACGTGTTTTCTGACAATGTTTGCTACTCTACAATCCGTCCTGCTCTGTAGTTCCATAGGCAGCTCTCTGGGTGCTCAGCACCCCCAAAGCTCTGATCCTAGAATCGCCCCTGTCAAAAATTAAGAAAAAAATGCGTTCAGTGTGCAGTATATTAAAGATGTTTATTCATCACTTCAGTGCAGGCAAGTGGAGTATATAGACTGCAGACGATGTAGTCAACGGAAGACTTATTTCATATCCCGTTTGGCTCACGTTAGCTGTGTCGTTTGAAAGCTGAGAAACTGGCCTGTCTGCATTCAAACTGGTTCCGGCGAAATCCCATTTCTAATCACAAACGAGAAGCAATTAGGATTGATCGTATTTAACTAAAGAGACTTGAATTCATATATTCTCTCTGTGAAACTGTTTTACAAAGACAGTTATTCAAAGTAATGTTCATACTTAATGTGACGAATTAAACATAGATTTTTTTTACCGTACTCGTGTGCGTGTAGGACAGATGGATAGCCACGTAAAAACGCTTAAAACTTTGTCTATTCATGTGTAGACAGTAACAGCTTGCTGAGGTTTCTGATGATATGAAAGTATAAATGCAGGTCGTCAGGCTAAGAGTCCTAAAACTAAGCCCTAAAAGACTGAAAGAGAATGAAATCAAATTAGAATATACCAGTGTTGAATTAAATACCAGCTCATTCAAAACATGATTTGGTTCATTAAATGTACATCTTTTAGTTAGAGCCTACACCACTTTAACCCAGTTGTTAAAATAAAACAGGATACCTGTGATAAACTATGACAGTTAACCTTAGTGAAATACCCTCGATTACCAGTTTACATCAAAGGTGTAAATATATTATTATTGCACCTTAGATCCACTAGGTGGCTTCAGAGGCCTTAATGTGCAGAACCACTCAAAGTGGTTCTGAGCAGGAGCAACGTTTGTCTTTCTATTTCTTGACTTTAACATAAAGGTACATGCCAAAAGCTTAATTTACATTAACAAAAGCTTTTAAATTGTTTCCATGTTTTATCTTAGCTCATAGTGATGATAAGGATTGATTTAAAAATCCAATCATAGAGCCTGCATTGCCTTCTCTTGACACAGTGATGTTGAAAAACTGAAGTATTTGCAAGTTAACAGTCTTTTAGCTAATATTCTGCACACTGTGAAGTGTGAAATAGATGCTTCCCTCTCAGTGTTCAGAGTAGGTTACATGCCTCCAGAAACTTGATATTTCAGTGCACTGTTGGTCTATTTTAACATACCGGTAACCAAAATTATTCTTTTAAGTATTAGTAGAATTAATTAGTGTAATACCAAACATGCAAGTGACAGGAATAAATATTGACACTATCGCAATCACAAAAGAGATTTAGGATTTTAAAAAAACTTTCTTTTTTCTTTCTATGCTTTAATAACTTAGGTTTGCAGAAGACAAAGAAGCTCTAAACATTCACTAACACACAAATGTATTAAGAAGACTTAAGTATTCATTTTTTAAGTCTCAAGACAACTAGTGACAACATTTATTTTGCCATTTGTCAGTGTGCCCCAGCAAACCTCAAAGTAAAAACAGTGTGAATCATCTTGTTTGAATACACAGTCAGCTATCTACATTTGTTTGTATACATGCAAATAGGTGTGTCCTACACTGATATGACCTTTTTTACACTCTCCCAGTGTCTTCAAATTTGTCCCTGTCATTAAACGCCAACTTTACTGTCACCAAGTGACAGTAAAGTTGGCTTTATGTGAACCACTGTCACTTTACAAATAGTGTCACTGTCCAGCTAATTTTTTTTTCACACGGTTGAGCTAACATATGCCATAGCTTTATGACTATTGTAATGCTGTGTGCGGACAGATGTAAAATATGCAGGCAGTAAAATGAGGGCACTGCAGCTAACGGTCCAATTTAAAATCTGTCTCTTGTCTTGCCAGTGTTTGTTCCTGGAAAGGTGTGGGTGTTGGATGAGGGGAGCAAAAGTGCCAAGATGTGTTGCCACAAGAATTTGTTTAGAATTAAGATCATAAGTTCAAGAGCTCCCCTTTTCTTCTAATGCATTTGACTGTGACTTAAAATAGAAGATGACAAAAATGTTCTATAAGGTCTAAAGGGCAACCAAGGCCACAGTTGCCTAGAAATCAGTACAAAGATGGGTCATAAGGAGCAGCCACATAGCCTGACCTTTTCTGAAATAGAAAACAGAAGTACAGAAATAAAATGTAAAGCTTTTTTTTTTAAATAAAGTAACTACATAAATAAAACTGATCACCATTAGAGAAAAAAATAAGGGAAAAATCCCTTCTTAAATCAATATTAAATATCCTGGCATTTAAGAACAGTGATAGACAGCACCACATCCAAAAGTTTGTTTTTTGTTTGTTTGTTGTTGGTTTATTTTTACGAAATGTAGGGTTGCAATGCACAACAACTCACCAAAAGATGACCCCGCCCAAAAAAAGAACAAACAAAATAAGCAAAATTAACGTTAAATAATTCAGTCAAATATTACAGATTAGAACATCTTTATGTAAATTGTGAAAACACACACACACAACACACAATATACTTGCATAATTCCATACACAACATCACATCTCCTGGAGATTTCTTAAGTGCTGGTTTAAAAGAAGATAAACAAAAAGTCCTGAGTTTTTTCAAGCTCACTGCACATTTTTGGTATATCAGAATGTGAAAGTGTGAAACAAATATAAAACATTCTGAAAAAAGGCTTCATTTAGTCACTTTCTTGTGAAAAAAAATGCAAGAGAAAAACTATTTACACATTTACATAGAATAAAGCAGTAAAAATGTGTTTTTAGTTATGTTTAAAGCACATTACATCATATCATCCTCTAAAGAATTTCACCCCGGGCACTGACTTTTGCATAGCACAAGTTCTGGAATTCCATTGAGTAGCCTTTTAGTAGAATCTAGTACAATATTTATTTGAATCATTAAATTAAACATGCATATCCAAGTCTAGTATAATATACTGACTGTCATTGGACCACCAAGTCTGTCTTTATTAAATTTATGATAATATGATCGATTTAAAGAGAAGCAAAAATATAGACTTTCTGCCAAAACATTTTAAATGATTGTCATATGTGACTTCACTTGTAGAATAGTCTATTATGGAGGATTTGGTTTATTAGGTCTTATGACTAGATAGCTGTTATTGTCAAACACCAGAGTTGACTCTCGCTCAGATTGTAAATATGATCTACCAGGCAGTCTGGATGTTAGCAGATTTTGGCTTGAGGTGATCGATGTGGGAATCTGATAAGGGCTGAATCGCACCCATGGTCGAGAGTTGCTGTAACGTTGGTTTCTGGAGTGCGACGAGGTTGCAGTGCAGAATGAAAGGGCTGGTGTGACTGAACCTGGTGCTGCCATGTAGCGGTATGGATATGAGAAAAGTCCTCCATAGGGTGATGGTGAAATCCCCTGCATTAAAAAGTAGAGTTGTTAAGATTTGTAGTACAGATCTTGTCATCCTCCTTTATATAAACAGCTCTGTAAAATTAAACATTATTAACCAGCAACTGAATACATCCGATTTGTTTTGTCTTTAACTCATATTATGGAGGAAATCCAAGGCATTAGGAAAGGAAGTCAGTAAAGGTAATCAATCCAGTCCCATTAAACAACAAGAGGATTGACACCTATGCTTTACTTTACACTGAAAATGACCTGCACACTATAAAGATCTCTAAGCCATTCATAAAGAATTCACAAAGGCTTATAATGAAGTACCACTACTCAAGTAATACATTCCAACTATTGTTTTACTTTATTCAGTAGTTGTTTAATGAAAAACTAGACATTCATTGTTTTTCATATTGTATATATTCATTTAATGCTTTTATATTTTGTTTCCACACATAATACACCAAATAGTGATCAAAGGTTTTTCTGTTTTTTAGTGGAAAATCGGTTTACAAAGAACCTTTGTTTTTTTTAAAATTATAACATGAAGGCTTGTAGGATTGCACAAACAGTAGGACGAAACATGAAGTAAGATCTAAAAGTATGTTCTCCAAATTACAAACAGAGCTTGCTATGAAACATATTGGCACGAAACATATAACTTATTTCAGCTTTACTCGCTGAGAGTTTCTTTAACTGTAAAAATTCTGCAGCTGCCCAGTGTGAAGTCCTTTGTTAGTGCTCAAAGACTTTAAAGATGCTACTGAAGTTAAGTAACTGTTACTGCTGTATACAGCACTTACAATTAAATGAATGGATGAAAATATATTCAATAACTTAATATAGTGAACCTGGGGAAGCGTACCTGAGATGCTAGCATTTGCTGTGACAGTTGACGTTTGAACGGAGCTGAAGAGGTGATGCTTTCAGAAAACAGGCTTCCATTTCTTAATCCATTTATACCAGATGAAGTGGGAAACATATTCTCCATAGCCATATTGGAAAAAAACTCTGGCTTCATTGATAGCTGTCCAGATTGAAATGACAAAGGTGTCCCAAGCCTACTAGAGAATTGGCTGTGTGCACTTGAGAAATCCAAAGTGGGTTGCTGACCAGCACTGAAGGATGATGCGCTCCATGACTGTAACATCATAGGCACGACCCCATCTTTGATTTCACTCATTTGCTCTTCTAAACCCGTACCTATAGAATGTCTATCACGTGAAGCGCTGCTTGATGTTCTTGCTTTTGTTGCATCTTGTTTGTTCTTTCTGAGATCACACTTGTTCCACAGTATCTCTTCACTTCTCAGACTTAAACCCAATGTGTGTTCTCTCCTGGAGCAGCTGCCTTCAGCATTGCAGTCATCTAGTGGATCAATGTCTGAATCACTGACAACGTTGGTCTCGTCTGTGAGGAAAAAAACAAACACTTGAAACATTTTTAACCATGAAGAAAACACTGTCAGACAGTGTGTCATGGAATACTTTGCAGTCAAATTGAATGAGCCATCATATTATTAACCCATGTTCTTTTGAAACACAGTTTAAAATGCTTTGTTAATTTTGCATCAAATAAATATTTTTTTAAAGTAAAAACAAAAGCAGATCCCCAAACTACAAACAGCAATTATTGGCTTGAGAATATGTCATTAAAAGGAAAACACGTACTAAAAACAAAAGAAAAATATATGCAAGCTGTTTCAGTGTAGTGACTATGCAGTAGATCTTAAGTTAGATTATCACTTCATGAACACAGGTCAACAGTGGCTGCCTAATAACATAATGAACTCTAAATGAACCCACCTTGACAAGTTGATGTGGACATCAGAGGGCTGCTTGTTAGTTGTGGGGAATAAAAAGGCTCACTGGTACTGGGCTGCTCATAGGAATCATCAGAATCAGCAAAGTCCTGGTCTGCTTTGCTTTGGTTTCCATTCAGTGAAGAAATGTTTAACTGTTTATTTCTGGGGATCACAAATCGAGATTGCATGAGACCATGCACATATGGCCTAAAGATGTATTCTGTTTTCAAAATGTATACCTCTTTTCACGTCTCCCATTTCCTGTATCTCTGAATCCTTTGGCAAAGGGATTGTTGTCAATTTTTAGTTGTGTAATCTTGATGGAAAAGAAGGAAAGATCTGCAGATTAATCAATCCAAAGTTCATTGTGCAGTGACAAACAGGCACAACAGTAGTACACACTGTATAATCCATGTGAATATTTGTCATTTGTGTATGAGGGGCTAAAGGATGATGTTACCTTTTCATTTTGATAAGCAGTGACAGCGATGAACTCTGTCTCTGGGAAAACATAAGTCCGGAAGGTGCTATAAGGAAGCTTCATTATGTCATTCGCCTTCACAATATGAAATCTGGGTTGGTACTTGTGCATGGAATTCAAAATTGTCTGCAAATTAGAAAAATAGAGTTGGAATTACTGGTATTTGGGTAATTAATTACTACAACTACAACCATAATAAAAGCTTTAAAGCAGTGCACCCAGTCACCCAGCATAACCATGCGTAATGAGGAACAAAAGCAACTTTTCAGTGAGTGTTACTTACAAACCCATGTTTATCGGACATGTTATTGGTGAGTTTGAGTTTATGAAAGGCAACAGGCTTGCTCATCCATTGTTCTCCTTTAGACGGACTATCGGGGTGGATGTACATGCGCTTTGGCATCTCTGGGTCAGCTTTTCCAGCCACCATCCAGCGGGAGTTGTGAAACTTGTAGCGACAGTCGTCGACAGCGACAATGTCCATCAGCAAGATGTACTTGGCTGTATCATTCAGCCCTTCTACTTGCACTTTGAAAGGGGGAAACATCCTCCTGATAGTTAACGAAGAAAAAAAGAAATTGTTGTATATGTCATAATTAACAGTGTTATTTTTGTTTTTCGTCTCTTTTTTCTCATAGAGCTTCTATTTGTCTATGGAGCCCCCCCCCCTTGTGGCATTTTTTAAACTTCCGATCATCAGCAAAACTAGATTATTCGCTGTTTTTCCCCGTTAAAGCGTGAACATAGCATTTGTGCGCGCTTTTACAGGCTATTTACAATAAAGCTACATTTGAAACGACAAAGACACTACACAAATTCTCAGTAGACTACTTAAATGCGCATTGCACTTGCCTTCCTGATTTTGTGATAACCATTTCAGTTCCTATTTTGTGAAATTCACTCCACAAGTTCTTTGATTCCAGCGTAACTTTCGGGTCCTCGTCCAACCATTCTTCTGGCTCAAGTCTCTTCAAGGAACGTTGCTGAACGGCCTCATTTTGGCACCCCAGACCTGCGTGCAGCCCCGCGTCAGGGGGTGCCTGCTCTGACAGAGACTTAGAGAAGGACGCGGCGTCCGGAAAAGTCGGCGCGGCGGGAAAAGAAGGCTGTGCGCTGGTAAGGAAGGCTGACAAGGACAAGGCACCTGGTCCGCGAATTTGGAAAGGATAATAAGCCATGGGAACAATGGCGCCAACTGCATTTCTCAGCACAGCATCCGATCAGAAAAGTCCCAGCCAGCCCGCGCAGGTTGCAGGCGCATGGCGTACATCCAGACAGCAACTCCGATTTTAAAAGTTTAGGAATTGTGTGGCATGATTGGTCTTACGAGGGAATGCAAAATTCCCCACTCTTAAAATACTGAGAAAGAGGTAAGAATCCGCTTGTAAATCGCAAACGGGGAGAGAGCAGCTGTGAACGCTGTGACTGCACAAGCTTGTTGAAAACAACTGGTACCGAGGATGAGAACAGAGGGAGGGAAAGAGACTGTGTTTGCGCTGTCACACGTCTGTTTTCCCTTGCACAAGGTACGCTAACGAGCCAAATATTTTCGACAGGGCTTCGTTACACGTAGCTTACCAATTACCAAACACGCATAATGATAATAACAATAATAATAATGTAAAAATGTTCAAATATTCTATGATATGTCAAAAAAATAAAATAAAATTACAAATCAGCGCGTGTTACTGATAACAGAAATACATCATTTACACAGTTCAGGATGTCTGGAGTCACTTTACCTTCTTGAATAAACTAGTTACGAGACAGGAAAGCTCAAAAGTGGAAGTGTTGCACACACACACACACACACACACACACACACACACACACACACACACACACACACACACACACACACACACACACAAAGAGAGAAACAGATTCCAAACGTGATGTTCAAAAGGTTTAAGTACTGTCTGGTGTGTTTTACTTTATTGAATTTATTGAATCAGCAGTCTTGTCACACCTACAAGCCAGTGGACACTATTTCAGTGATGAGGATGTACACATCCTGGACAGGGAGGAATGCCCTGAGCGGGGATTCGAGGAGGTCATTTATGTGAAAAGGGAAAGACCATCTCTAAATCAAGGAGGGGGGCTAAGGGTACATCTTTCTCCATCTTGCAATGCTGTGATTGCAGTCATTACCCAACTATCTGTGAATGTTACTCATGGCCATTGATCAATGGTCTTTGATCAGTGGTTGTTGATCAATGGTAATGACAATCTGCATATTAATGAAGAAAGAAGATATTTGCTTTCAGTTAAAATTATTTCAAAGGGGTACAAAACCACAGAGGCATGTTCATCTCAAAGAGGTTCACTCTTAAAGAGGTTCACCAACTCTGTCCAGTAAACAAGGTCTTTCCTAATCTTGTGGTTTAGCAGCATGAATTTAGCTTTGTGCAGGTCAAAGAAGGAGAGGGTAATTTGTATACCTGGGGAAGTAAAAAGTGACAGGGACTAGCTAAATGGATCAGAGCAGGTTGAAGTCCGGGATACATTAGGTCGAGGGCGTTGCCTCAGACTTAGAGTAATTAATCTCGTAAAGTGGAATTTCACCAAAGGACCAAGTGTCCCAATAATAGAATCCTCAAGGTGGCTTAAATAAAGCAGAACATTTTCCATAGAGATGTTATGTATCAGTGAAGCTACCAAACAAGAATCACAAACAAGTAAATTCAAATGTTTTAGCCTGCACAGTGGGCCTGGAGCCATGACCCACCATGATTCAGGACACTTCAGGCCAGCTGTGATGAGTGGAGTAAGAGGGAGAGATGCAAGGCCTTTCAGTCCTGTCAAATGACTTATTGGTGTGGAAAGAGATTCTTGGATATACCTAAATCTGTTTTTTCTTTTAATTTGCAGAAAAGTGTACAGAAAAGAGACTAGAACAGAAAAGAATAATGATAATGAGACAATAATGATAAAATCAACAAACTGTTCTGTAAGTTACAGGTTTGTGCTGGATTTCTCAGTAATTAAAAAACAAAGGCCACCACAGAGGATTTTACAATCCACTCTGAGAAGAGGAAAAACTAAGTGTTGACAGTGTCTTTTAGTTGAATACAGCATTTTCTGAGATCCATCCAGAATACACAACGGGTATGACGCCAGTCTGTCGTAGGTCTAAAACAGAGAGAAAGACAACCATTCACACTCACATTCATACCTATGGGCAATTTAGAATCACCAATTAATGTAGCTCTACAAACTGCATGTCTTTGGACTGTGGGTGGAAGGCAGAGTACCCAGAGAGAAACTATGCAAAGTAGCAGACAGAACATGCAAACTCCACAAGAAACGCCAGATGGTGTATTCAAATCCAGGACCTTCTTGCTGTGTGGCTCAATTTTGGTTACTAGAAACTTGATGCAGTTCTCAACTATCTCCTAGTTTGGGAGCCTTAAGTATTGTTAAGCCCAGAAAAAACTGATGATTCCTCTTTTTATGTGGGATGAAGGCTCTTCCCAAAATCTACCGTCATACCAAAATCCATCTTAATCAGGCTGAAAATAGAAATCAAGTCCCACTGGTTATTGATATGGTTCATATAACATAGGATTTGTGTGACGTATAATGTGAATGACTTGTGAATATACCCACTTACTTCTGACACAGACACTTTGTAAACCTAATGCGCAGTAATTAATTTTAGGTTACATTAACCCATTTACAGGGGTGCTTCAAGCACAGACTTTGAGCATCTGAGATTCCAACTTAATCCAATGATCTTAAACTAGAGACACAAACAGGTATAAAGAGAGGCCAAGTTATTGTTTTTGCTGTAGAGGCTATAAATGTTTTGCCCCCAAATTTAATTAAAGCCTAACAGACATATGCTAACAGACAACTATTTTAGTCTCACGAACCTCTACATCAAAGTGGCAGTAGCTGCGAAATCTCTAATGGGCACTATAAAAAGCTTGTTCATTCAATAGAATTAAGAATTAATTTTACTTTCTACACAAATTAAATGAGTGGCATGGCAGGAAGACCTCTTATGTTAGAATTCCTAGCAGAATTGACTCCCTGTTGAGGCACTGTCACACCATTTTGTTTATTTAGACTTGATTAGCAGTAAGCTCTGCTTTCCTACAAATTCATTTAGGGGGCTTTCAGAGAGACTTTCAGCCTAACTAGCAAATTACTACTACAGTGGACTATTTTTAATCCTGAGAATTTCAGTTATAGCTTTTATGATTTGGCTTTCTCACTTTGGTGTTACATCAAAGACATCACTAGTTTTATATTACACTAAACTGTCCACTTTGTTTTAGTCAGGAATTGAATTGCCTTTAAAGAGAAGCTTATATTTTGCTAGGAAAATGTGAAATAGATGCTATAATTAATTTAAACATGTGCAAACAAACATGGAAATACATTGTATCGATCAGAGTTTGTACAATTCTGAGTTTGAAAGTCCATATTTGTTATGATGGCCTTTATTCTTCTAATCATTTCTTTAAGTAGTCTTTGAGGATAGTTCTTAAGGCTTCTTAAAGAGCATGCAGAGCTGTATTTTGGATGTTGCCTGCCTTTTGTTCTGTTCTCTGTCAAGATGATACCATACTACTTCAATAATGTTGAGGTCCAGTCTCTTGGGAGGCCAAATCCATTACTGATAGCCTTCCATTGCATGTGTTTCTATCTGGATATCTTTCTCATTGATGGTGTGTTTCAGACTATTGATTGACTACTGATGAGAATTTGAACCAAAAATTAAAAGTTAGGATTTGTCACCAATGCCCTTTTTTCTGTCCAGTTCTTGTATGATTTAGCATATCTCAGCCTTCTTAAGAAGACAAAAAATTGTAAATGTTCTATTTTTCATAATATAACACAACTGGCTGGGACATTTAACTCTTCAATGGGACATGTATCAAGTGTTCTTCTCTATTTTGTGGTGACAAATTATTATAAAGCCCAGCTGCTATGTCCTATTTGGAAAGAAGATGTTTTCTTCTGGTAGCCCTTCCAAATAAGCCGTTCATGTTCAGTCTTTTTTCTAATTGCACTGTTTCTAACATTAACATTTACCATGCTAACTGAGGCCTGTAGAATTTCAGATGTAGCTCTTAGTTGTTCTTTGGAGTTCTAGACCAGCAAATTGACGAAACGTCTGCTTTATGGAGGTGCTCACACAATCAAGTGATTAGCAGCACCTGGCTGCTACTTACCTACTTAATTTCTATTGAAGCCTTAAGAGTGTGCTTTGTTTTTCATAGGACTGTATAACATTTCATTGCATAATGTTGCATCAGTGTCCATGCAGCTATTATGTGTTAAGGTTAAGCATGGTCCTCCCTTTACTGATGGGTAAACATGTCTTAGGTGTGTCAAAAACAAGCAAGCACTGGCCACTTTAAATAACCCTTATCCGGCTGCACAGCTTGACAGTGTAAATCTAACACACAGCAGTGATTGGCTCATTGATGGCCTTTCTATGGCACTGAAGTAACTGGTTTTTAATTGAGAAACCACTGTTTTACTGTCACAACTCTGAAAATTGGAGGGCAGTGCATTTCCAGAGTGAAACAAACTACACTCGAATTCTCATCTTAGATAAAAATATAACTTATGATAATGATACTTCAGGGTTGTATAATCAAAAACAGGTCATATTTGAGCAAGTTACAAAGGGCTGGTCCTTTTTGCATTCTAGAGTTTTCGTACTGCCTTGCTGTGTTAACTTGGCTGTTAAATCATTAACCCCTCATCTCGTCAAGCCTGCCACTCTTGTGCATTTTCTGGGATCCGTAAGTGTCACAAATCCCATAAGAGGAAGACAGCAGAAGGCTAGAGCTGTATTTTAACTTATCTCTATTCTGCTTCAGGTTGGTCCAACCTTATCTTCCAGTTCTTTTAGAACTCTTAGTGTGATCTGTGTAAAATATTTTCAACTGTTTCTCCATGTGTGTGTTTTTTAAATGTGATTATTTTTGTTGTTGTGTTGTTTTGTCTCTAAAGCAGGGAACTTTCATAGCTACATAAGCTTCCCTATGTGCTTATGACAGAGGTAGATGGAACCTGACAGGACAAGAGGTCGCAACGGTACTCAATATTACATGACAATGCTGTGCGGTACCCAAGTGCTTAGAATAGCTACAGTGTTGCAGCCTCTGATTGTTCTGTACATTTGGCAATATTAATGCATTTAATTGTTGTACATTTAGACGTTATTAGTGACTTACAGAGCCTGCGTTGACAGAATTTGTACAA